AGAAGAAGAAGAAGAAGAAGAAGAAGAAGAAGAAGAAGAAGAAGAAGAAGAAGAAGAAGAAGAAGAAGAAGAAGAAGAAGAAGAAGAAGAAGAAGAAGAAGAAGAAGAAGAAGAAGGGGGAGGAGAGGAGGAGGAGGAGGACCTGTATACTTTAAACTTTTTTATGTCAGCTATCAGAATTTGCTCTATGAATGACATCTATTGTCTATGTCAAACCTTAGCAGTTTGCAGCCCCTAAGGCCAAATCAATCACTTTGGCTGTCTTCGCCAGCCTACATAAATTATTTTTATTTTTGAAGACAATTGCTATTTTTTATTTATTTTCCAGTTTATGTATCTGCATGCATGTGATCCTACTGGTTCAACCCTCCACAACAGTCCCAGTTTCTCATGTAATTTTTTGGGGAAATTAATTGCCCACACCTGGACTATATGCTATCACTCAGTAGTATGGATCAACTATTCTACAGCAATTTTTAAACATAATTCTGTTGGGGGAATCTTCTTTGATGAGAATTCAATTTTTTTTTTCAAACAGCAGATGCCTGGAACGATAAATTTGAAAGGCATCCACAGTAGAAATAACTACTTTCTAGACTCTGTATGGTGGCAAAGAGATCTATCTTGTGTTAATTTTTAAAACACCTTGCGTGGTTCCAATTGTGCTAGAAACTTTTCAAGTTAGAAACTTCTCTGTTGTTTCCTGAAAGAATAATGAGGCACTGACTAGTTTGAAAAGTCCAGGGAAAGAAATCTGTATTCATCTGTTAAGAGAGAAAATGTCCCCTGGCAATTTCAGTTTGCCCTGTATCTTTGGCGTGATTTCTTCACAGCTGATTAACAAAAATCTGGAAAGAGTATTTGAAACAGCATACCTGTCTGAAGCCCCCTGTCTAGGGGTTCTGGAAGGTCCTGAAGATTTGGAACTTGGTTGTACCATGGAAACCCTGCCATGCTTTGAATTGCTTTAGTTGTTTATTTTTTAAACTCTAGATTGTTATCTTTTGTTCTTAACTTTTTAACTGTTTCATTATATCTTCTGATGATGCAAGTCATCACGTTATTTTTGAAGTAAATGGGAAAGAGAGAGAGAGAGAGAAAGAAAGACGTAGAGAAAGGGAGAAAGGAGGAGGAAGAAGAAGGGGAAGGAGGTGGGGAAGGAGGAGGAGGAGGGGAAGGGAGAGAAAAAGAAGGAAGAGGAGGAGGAAGCACAATTTGAAATAGTGAGATGAATTTAGCAGAAGAAATGAAATTTATAGATACATTTGGATTCTCATGGAGGAGGAGGAGGAGGAGGAGGAGGAGGAGGAGGAGGAGGAGGAG